ACTGACCATTATAAGGGTAAAATGATACCCGGGGTCAAACAGCAAAGTTACCACAGCATCACAACCAAGTCAGTAACGGGTAAATCCTCCTCTGTTTGCCAAACAAGCATTGATCCGACGTGGCATACTCCTAATGAGACGTCTAAGGTCATTTTGGTCCAGATTGTCCCATTCCTGTTGCAACGCAACGTTGTTGACGTTGACGTAACCTCTGTCCAAGCATGTCCCAGACATGCTCGATGGGGGAGAGGTCGGGACTCAGTGCTGGCCAAGGTAATGTGGTGATGTTCTGTTGTTGGAGGTAACCTGTAACGATCCTGGCCCTGTGACATCTTGCGTTGTCATCCTGGAAGATGAAACGGCGGCCATGACGTCGTGCGAACGGCACAACATGGACTGCCAAGATGTTGTCCCGGTAGTACTGGCCTGTAACACGCCCTGCAACAACATGTAAAGCCGTTCTTCCAGCAACAGTGATGCCTCCCCACACCATAACAGAACCACCCCCAAATCGATCATGTCTGATGACGTTAACGTCTTGGAAGCGCTCGTTTCGACGACGCCACACCCTCCTACGTCTGTCCAAAAAATCAACAGTGAACCTTGACTCATCTGAAAACATCACATTGCTCCAGCGTCGATTATCCCAGTGTTGACGATCCCTACACCAACGACGTCTTGCCTGAATGTGATGATCTCTCAAACAAGGGATCACGCGAGGACGTCGGGCGCGAAGGTGACCCCTGTGCAGTCGATTCCGAATCGTCTGGCCACTCACTCTCACACCAGTGTCTGTTTGAAGACGAGCGCTGATCTGATTTGCTGTGATGACACGATTTCTCAAGGCCAAGGTACGGATAAATCGATCCTGGGCTTGAGTTGTCGCCCTTGGTCGACCTGAGCGTGGTCTGTCCTGTACAGATTGTGTATCACGGTATCTGGACCATAGCCTGCTTATGACAGACTGAGAAACATTCATCGTCCGCGCCACAACCGCCTGTGTTGTGCCGATCTGTAGCATGCCAAGGGCACGTAACCTTTCATTTTGGGTAAGCCGACGCATATCAAATTTTGTTTTCTGGTCACTAAAACAATTAAACTGATGTTTCCACCCTGGAATGACTGTAACATTCAAAGTCAGAGTCGTGCAAATCTTGGGTTGGACCCCCATGATGATCCCAAGCATCACCTGCATTCCATGCGGTAGCTATTGGTGCGTTTGGGCGTCACATGTAACTGGAAATGTTTATTCTGTTAGGTTCTATAGTGACTTTTTTCGTAGTCATTTGCATATTTTAGTATTATGCCCCCAAAATCAAATATCCCCTACTTTTTTTGAATAGTATAATTACTGAAATGAAATAATACAAATTATTAGTACGGAAATAACCTAGCTTGTGTTGAGTTGCCGTTTTATCACCTCTCGCTCTCTCTCTATAATATCTCGACCATAGCTGAAACGTTTGATTATATTACGATTCTTCTCGCACGATTTTGGAACTGGCAGAACTTTGTCAGGACTCAAATCCGTGTCACCCCAAAAGCAATCCCGAGTATTTTCCTGATTCAATTTGGTTTAAAAGCTGTGTGGAAATCATGTAATTCCTAGGAATGGTAAAACTTTAACCGCTTTTGATTTACTTTGGGGAGTAATCAGATACATTGAAATCCCGAAATATTTTAGACGTGTCTTCCTTTTCTTCAAAGTTTAGAGTTCGTTAAAGAGTGTTTTTCTTTTCTTTTTTTTTCTTTTTTTTTGTTGGGGGGGGGGGGGGGTGGGGGTGTTAAAGCCTGACGTACACAGGCGGTTGTTTTCGATTGTTACAGCAACGAGCTATTTTCAGTCAACCAGCAATGCTTTGGAAATCATGGCTATATTGTGTGAGCGTACAAGCTATGTGCAGGGATTTCCACCGCTGATCTTGCTTCACAAGAAATTACTTACTGTCGAATACATAGCAGTTGATGTACTATTTCAGAGCGACGGGCAATATAATTCTTAGCCGCCGAATATCTATTAAGTTATAAGCCCTAAAGTTATAAGCCCTACCAGTATTATGTTATACCTCTTTTCCTTACTTTTGTCTTATTTTTGATAAAAAAATTTATGACATTCTATATATATATATTTTTAATTGTGTCAAGATCAACAGCGATGCCGTGATCCCATTAAGACAAACACGTGTGTAAGAAAAGTGGCGTTTTGGCAACCAAATTCCACATGGGTCCGGCAATAATTTCTTGTGCAATGTATAATTTCTTCCAGTCGATCTGTGTGTTTGATTAGCCATAAGAAACAGGTTTATTCACTAACGGGGTAGTGTAACATACTAATCATGGAAATATTCGCACCTGGTGTGCACAACGCCATGGCATTTATCCCGATATTAATTGCGGCACGACCCCAGATTTCGATTGGATTCTTCTCTATGTCTAATCGAATAATCTCAACTTCCCACAAACTTTATTATCTTGCAATACAATCCAGTAAGTGTTATCCAATTTCGGTAGTAAATCAACTCTACAGAAAGGTCACAAGCAGGCGGGCAGTTAATATCAGAAGTTAATATCGAATATGTAATTTAAAGTTTTCATAATGAAAGTTACACTTGCTGTCAATTAACCATCAAATTAAAATGAGATCTATGATTCGTTCTATTCGAAGCTTTTTGGGTTATCTTCTCTTGCGATTTACATTCTAAAGAGTTTTGTGTTTGGGCGTTTAGTTAGGTATAGAAGTCACTGTGATTGCTTAAAACAATACAAAGTATGTTTAGAATGGAGGTCATGAACAATATAGTTAAACTATACTGTACTGTAAATGTGAGGTCCATCTGGACATAAGTACTATCCCGCTTTCTACAGGCTAAATATATAGCCAACGCTATGGAAATATTTTTCGCTTCTCTGTTTAAATTTCACATCATTTATGGCAATGGTGGGAATATATTTATAATTGTGCTATGGTCTCGTATCATTTTTATGTTGCATAGTACTTTTACATTGTCGATTAAAATTGGACTAAGTATTCATTATAAAATAACCAGAGAACGTTTATCTTTAATTTGAGAAGTTGCTTTTAACACTTTTCACATGCACACCTTTGGGTATTGAGTAAAGAAATATACGCAGATGCTATTGAAGAAGTGAAAAGGGTTGATTGAAACACTCTAATGGCGAATGCATTAAAAAAAACCTGATGGAGGCAAGGTTAAATGTTACCAATAATAATAGGCTGATGGCTTTTAGTGTGATTATCTTATAGTATGCCAGTATTAAGCATCTTGTTTAAATATCACATAAAAAAATCCCATAAACATGTCAGAGTTACGTTGAATTGTTTTTACATTTCTATAATACTTGACTATATAGATGTGGCATTTATGTAAAATTGATTTATATTAAACCAATACATTAGTTTTCATACTCTAAATTATTGACAGTTTTCATTTAAAACAATTCGACACAATTATATATTATGACCGTTATTTGTTAGCTTGGCCAAATAGAAACTGGGTTAAATAATATAACTTGGTTATGCACGTGTGTTTGTAAATATAATTGTGGCTTCTTATTTTAAGCCCCAAAGAACAGGACTTGAGGTGCGTCTTATAAGCAATTTGAAACATTTGTTCCTGTGCTCGCCCAGGTCATTGATAAACATATAGATGATGAATTAACTTTGCAAATATGTTACTCGTCAATATACAAAAATAGCTATGTTCTATGTGCATAATATACACAAGACATACAAGCAATGTATACACAGAAATAAGATGTACTACGTATGGCACAGAGTTAAAGTAGCATTTTACTGGAAATGTCGTTAAAGGTCAAATCGGACTTATAACCTGATTTTCGAACTTGGTTCCAAACGTTAATAATATTTCTTTGGACCCTTGACTTTCGTGATGACAGCGTCCCTGAATCAACAATAACTGTGAAAATATTAATTTTTAAAAGAATCGCTTGGAATGGATTAATGCATGTTTATGATAAGTGCTAATGTAACTTGGTTTTTGCATAGCGATTCTTATGAAGTGTAATCTATTGATATCTAGATGAATTAATTAATTGTTAAATTAATTTAACGTCCAACTTTTCTACATCAACTGGGCTGAAGAATTCTAGAACGATTTCCCGCAAAGGTCATACAGTGTGCTATGAGGAGATTTTGCCCGAGCCTGAATTGAATTCTAATTGCCATGGGCACTTTTCGTACACGCCAACGTGTACACGGGACCTCGAATTTCCATTCCATTCGAACGACTAGACAATTTCATTGTCAAGTGATAGTTACATATTATCACTGTTATTTTAAGACATTCTGCGAATCCTTTCAAACTTTACAAAGAAATAAATTTGTTAAGTTTCAAATAATACTCTCAGACTCATGTAAAACTATAAATGAAAACATAACTGTTTAGGGATCTGTAGTTTCTTAAAAGAATTAATGCCGTATGTGGTTATAAGATATATTTGATATGCTCGTTAAAATTTATTGATTGACACAAGGTAGATATCTGAATTTAAACGAAATCTAACGCATATAATTGTTGGAGTTTAAAATTAAAATTTTAAAAGGGGTTTATGCTATACCCACCATAAAAACGGCATGGTCTTTCTCGGTTAATTATGAAAATGGTGGCATCTTACATAAAGTGGGCGTTATTTTATTTAAACATAAAACATAATAAATTTAGTGATCAAATTAAACACGCACTATTGTTTTAAATATAAAGTAATTGATAACTAAATTATTGTGACCTCTCAAGACCAATGCAAAAATCTGACCGGGTGCGTTTAACATCTATTTCAGCATAAATGTAAAATATAATGAATTGAATTATTTTATTTTTGCCCTCCCTTTAAACTGTTGTGTTATTATTATGATGAACTGCATTTAAATAGTGTTTTATTATTGCTATTATTTCAGCCTTCAAATAGAATCTCGTTCCTCCCCTTTAAACAATGGTAATAACGAGAATAAGAAATCTTACCTGTAAAAACAATAGAATCTTACACATGGTTGTACCTAGAAACCAGGTGTACGTTATATCCTGAACCAATGTTGGTGTCAAACAAAGACTGATTACTAGGAAGTCCCCAACAGCTAGATTCACAATATAAATATTCGTCACCGTTCTCATATTGTGATTTCTCCATACAGCAAAAACTACCAGGAAATTCCCAACCACTCCTAATACAAACGTCAGGAAATACAAAACAACTACTATCCATTCTTGCCATTTTGGAAAAATGTGCTGATTTAAATGGTCTTCATATTCCTCTATATCCCAGCAGTATTCATTCCAACAAGTGACATTGTCTTCGTCTGTGCCATTTAACGTGTTGTTAAAAGTTCCGTTACCAATTAAGGTTAAGTTCCCTAATGTCTCTTCCATCTTGTTAAGTTTAAATTTGACTCGATATATTCAAGTAATTACGGTATCAAACCATACAAATATTAATTAATAAAATCACCCACAAAATGTTAGTTAATGATTAAGAAAATAAGTAGTGTAATTTTCGTATTAATTCATCTTGATTGGCTATTCTTCCTCGTTAACAATCTCAGCTTTTCTTCTGATTAACTAATAACTCTTAAACCAAAAGAAAATAATGCAAAGTTCTAAAAAGCTCCGATTGCTTGAACGGTTCGTAGAATAACTACCGGTACAACCTTTTAGTCGATGGAATTAATAGTCCCAATGCGCGTGGACAAAGCGTTTCCCCATACTATTGGAACCGCTGTTACGTCTATTAGCTGTCATGCGTGGCTATGTTCTTCACACACAATTTCAAGACTCCTAATTCTGGAGAAGCCAATAAGTTAGATTGGCTTCCTCTCTTCTGGCTGTTGGTTCTTGGCGCGTGGTAAACTGATTCGCATCTTGTTTGTGTTGATAGAGTATTTCTATTAAGCTGTTAGCTGTCAGAGCAGATATCATCACTCATTTGTAGAATAATCTACCGTTGCCTTTAAAACAGTTTTTTGTTTGTTACATACGTATCAACTAATACTAAAACTAATATTTAAACGCACTTAAAATATAAGTAAATGGAGGAACTAATTAAATTTAATTGACTCATTTATCAACCTGATTATATTTTTGTAAAATATCTGTATTCGTTTCTATGATGTCAATTACCATTATTATATTTATAACGCTAATTAACATACTTATAAGTATACCTGTTATAAGATAAAAACGTTTTGCCCCAGTAAGACACAGAAATATTTTGTGGAAAGCAAAAGTGTTCATGGCGTAGAAAATCCTTATATCATATTTTAAAACTAATGAATGAATGGATGGATGAGGTTTTACGTCCCGCTTTCCTGCACCAACCGGGAAAATAAATGAAGACGGTCATATGCCATACATTGTACTATTTGGAAAATTTGACCATACAGCAATTGAATTCTGTGTACGCCAGCGTTTTTCGTCCCATCCGAAGTACTAGATACCGTTCATTGTCAGGCCCTCTGTCCTGCACCAACTGACAAAGGGAAACCACAGAGAACTGTCCCGGCCAACACCGGGATCAAACCCCATACCTCCTGGTTAGTGAGCCAGTGCCTTACTCATCGAGCCACCGTGACTCCCATATTTAAAAACAGTGATTTTGTCAATATTCGTTCGAACGGTGTTTCTTATCGATGTTATTGCCCTTTACTTCTGCCTACGCAAGTTGTCACGTGACTCACGGTCCACCATTTTACTTTGTGTAGACGCATGGCGTTCTATCTATTCTATTGTATCGAAGTACAGTTGCTAACGTTCGATAATCGTTTTGGTGTGTGCAATGTACTAAGTAGCCCATTCGTTCGTATATTTTCACTTTTCACATTTGTGATGGTTAGTAGCAGTCTACCATGATAGTCGATGATACGAATGTTATTTTGTGCAAAATCTTTTAAAAATGTAAAAATCAATACATTGTCCATATATAAATAAGGGAAATGTCAAGGGGTTTTGAGCAGCATGACGAAGGTTTGCGATAGAATAAAATGTTTATGTTTATAAAATGGTGAATCGCTTTGAAATACTGAACTAGCGTGCACGCAAAAGAGCCCTTGACAATTGGAAGCGAAATAAGACTAAGAGTAGGTCGTTTCTCCGTCTTCATTATGCTAGGTTCCCACTGTCGTGCGATGCGTTACGATTGGATTGTCTCTATTGAGTCCACGATATGGTACGTGCAGATACGTTCGAATTAATTTCGATACGATCAACATGATTGCTACGACTGACCTCAATATATGATAAGACTTGATAGGAACACCACGATTACTCCACAATTTAAACCACGATTTCAATCGTCGCACGAATCTTGATAGTGGGAACCTAGCATTAGCCCAGTCGGTGTAGGAAGTTAAACCCCATTTCATTTTACAATTTTTGTATAATATAACGAGTACGCCTGTAGTCTACTGGCCAATCGCTTTAGTGTGAGGTCTTTCCGCGGTTATGCATACCTCAATTATACCAAAATATTTTAGCTCTGGTTAATTATGAAGACAATTTTGATGGTTTTGTACCTCAAATAGTCACTGCATATTCAACAAAGGCAAATTCTATGGAGAAAATCATAATCATATACTTGGACGCAGTGAAAATGCGCCACTTTTATAAATGGATCGTTCTAAATCTGAGCTCATCGATAACACTTGAGAATAAGTTGATAATCACGAATGGTGCAAACATGGGCAATATAATGCGACTTTTAATACAGTTAAATATAGTACAACTTCTACAATTCTGTTAAAGCCTAAACAATATGCCGTGGTTGACACATGAACACGTCACTGGGTTAGTTCAAGATGGCATGAGTACCAGAAATGAAATGAAATGGGGTTTAACGTCCAACTGTTGTGCTCTGACTGGGTTAATGCATGAAGACCAGCATACGCCATACAGTGTTCTTTGAAGGAAATTATGCGCGGACAGCGGCATTACGGCCTACTCTTATATCGAATTCCAACTGCCTGGGATTATTTTATGTGCAGAGGACCTCTTTTGTTATCCCATTCGTGCGACTATATGTAGTCCATCACTAGAAATGCCTTCTGTCCTACACCAATGACAAAAGGGGGGGGGGGGGGGGCAGGATAACACGCAAACGTCTTACTCACCAATCACCGTGGATCCCTGTTGGAAGATTTAACGATATGCCGCGGTTGACACCTGAATACCGTAAACGCGGCATTGTGTTAATCCTAGAGGGCATCAGTTAACAATTGTTATTTAATACAAAAAAAGTAGTTGCTCGATTTGGAAAAGCGAATTGATGTTTTTTTTGCATTGAAATAGATCGTTTACTTTCCTTATTGGATTTACTACAAGTCCTTTTGCTTATCAAAATGGAAATCCGAGAGATCAACACATTATCTCAAAGTTCAAAATAAATTTGATTTGTGTTTAACGATGGTGGCGGATATTGCGTTCTAATATAATCTGTTCATAGTTAAATTGAGTTTATTTTGTTGCCCTAGAAACTAAATATTACCACAAAATAAAAAATGTTTTCGACAGTAGCCAAGATATTCATAAAGTGTGCTGCTAACTGAAAAAACTTGTAGACTCAATACAAGAATTTAACATAATACTTCTGGCGTAATAAAGGAGTTCTTGGTATAATCCTCAGAAATCAAAGCCGTATTTTCGTACCAAGATTCTAAGACAAAACCTGATAGTAATAAAGTTTTTGTAGGTCAGAGTAATCTATGGAAGCCCACGCGGTAAGAGAAGATACCCTTTTGTCCCCAATTAGAGATTTGTTGGCATCAATCACAGATAATGGCCATGTATTCTGGTTTATTGTTTGGTGACCTATTTCAATGTGTCACCTTTCCGTCCAATTTTTTTCAATTTTGATCGACATCTGTGATGTGTCACGCCACAGCATGACGTAATCACTGTTTCTGAGGTACACGCATTAAGAAACAATATCACCCAATATACTTAATGATCGCAACATACCGGATGACTTAAATCCATAGATTTTGCACGATTAATTCATTACATAATCTGTAGGGCACTTAAATCTGATGTTAAACCATTTATATTTCAGCAATGAATTGACAGGTCTGTCTCAAATTTAAACATGTTTGATTTGACTGGAATAGACAAATCATGTCACATCAAAAATTATTTTTACCTATCCGCGATCATGCCTCTTTAAAAATCCCACGTATTCAGCCTTCCTAATTATTAAATGCGTCTGCCTTTCTGCTGGATTAGAAGTTTGACAGTCAATTGTAGAAATTAGAAGGGATTCGAACCGTTTCTATATCATATGATGTAGGCTTTAAATTCATTACAGAGGACAAGGTGGGGTGAGAATAACTTAATATCATATTGTGTATGAACGCCGTAAACAGGGTTGTATTACACAAATTGGAGAATCGGGAATGTTGATTCACAACATGGCAGTTACATCCGACCTGATCAATTCCGAATGCCACGATTTGCTCTTGTTTCCAACCTCACCTCTTTTTTTCGCCAACGAAAATTGCGATGGCGTCGATGTCCCACGTACTCTTGAATTGCACACTTTTAAATATGGAGCCACGGTGGCTCAGTGAGTAAGACGTTGGCTCGCTAACCTGGAAATCCCGTGTTCGATACCTGGGACAAAAAACAGAGGGCACGTGTACACATTGGCGTGCACGTAAAAGATCCCTTGACGGTGGCAATTCGATATAACAGTACACTGTCTTTATTAGCCCAGTCGGAACAGAACAGTGGGGCGTTAATACCCATTTCACTTGTGTACAAACACGTCCCATTTTTCGCCAACAAAAATTGTGAGGGCATTGATCTTCCACGTACTCTTAAACTATATACACACTATTAAATATTATTTTACTGTTAAGCTTCCGTAGTAATATATGTGTCAACACATGAATCCTTGCACTTGTGTACAACTACGACCCCTTTTCGACAACAAAAATTGTGAGGGCATCCATGTTCCATGTACTCTGGAACTACATGTGTATATACACACACGATTAAATATTATGTTACTGTTAAGCTTCCGTAGTATTACCTGTATTTAAACGTGAATCCTTGCACTCAGTTGGGTAGGTTGAAGATTACAGTTTTCACATCTACAGCTGTTAAAGATTACTGGGAGAAAACAGAATTACTTTTTGTACACGAATGATGTTTTTCACGTTACAAAATGCTTTAATAATTTCTCAATGATAACCTTTCTTGATACATTTATTAAATCTTAGTAGCAATATGCCTTTGGGTTATCTTCTAAGTAAAGTAGACCACCAAATCGGCTTTTCGTGTTTATGATATATTTACGTAATTTCTGTAAGTATCAGAAAAATCAAGAAAATGAGAAACAGTTTGGTCTTTCAGGATTTCAAACTACATGTAAACCAATCTTTATCAGTAATTGGATTATATCAGGTCGTTTTTTTTCCTAAATACTAAGGTACATACATATATCTAGAGTTTGTAATTAGATTTAAGGATTCGTCGAAGCTTTAAATTTAATACCCACACACCGTTATTTTGTTTTTTGTTGTTTTTGTTGTTTTTTTGATTTTGTTTTTACGATAGCAAGGACGTTTCTACTTTTCTTCAAATCAGTGTATATATTTGTGAACCTCCTCAGTTTTAATCCCATGCGAACGAATAACAGCCGTACGAAAGACTTATTTTCGATACGTAACCTTTACAGTAAATTAGAAGTTGTTAACAAGTGTTTTTGGAAAAATAAGAACACCTGTCATTTAGTGACCTTTTTGTACTTATATTTCATAGGTGAAAATCCAGTGAAAGGCTTTGATTAATTCAAAATGAACAACCAACCAAAAGATTAAAATACAAAATGACAAAATTCT